AAAAAAAAAAAAAAAAAAAAAAGTCGAACATATGTTCTTCATGGACATAATGCAGTGGAACATTTATGTTTTTCTGGGAGGATGAGGGAGGTGTATAATTAAACCTACGTGAAAAGTGTGAATTATCTGAAAGTGATTGCAGTTGCGGCAGAAATGCGCTTTTGCGCAGCCAGGCCGTGGAGTGGTGAAGTGGTGACGCGGTGAAGAGGTGAAGTGTTGAAGCGGTAAAACGACGCAGTGACGCAGCAACGAAGTGGCCAAGCACGGGGGCATACGAACATGAGGAAATCGCGACAAAGGCAGACACCACGTCGTAGCGGAAACACCGCCAAAACACAGGACGAGCGTTTGCACACAGACCAGGTTTAGACGAAAATTATTCCCTCGCGCCTTTTTAAAGGACGCCTGTCTTGACAAAGTGGAGACAAGTCGACATGGTTACGTAAAAAAAAAAAAAAATTAAAAAAAAAGTAGAAGAAACAAAACGGCACTGTAATGAAGGAGACAAACAATGAGAGAGGGGGGGGGTGTTATGTTATATTCACATACACTCACACACAACTCGGATAAATTTGCGACACGGTTTGACAAAGATTTGTCCGTTAGTGGATCCCTCCCAGTTTTATGCACACTGCGCATAAGGACAGCGAGCAAGTGAATGCCTCACAAGCTGCGTAAAAGTTGTTGCAAGGTTGGCAACACTGATAGAAGACTGACAAAATTGACAACACTGTGTCTACCTAATGTGTGAGACACAAAAAAAAAAAAAAAAAAAAAAAAAAAGTGACTCATTTTGCATCAACTCTGGTTGGGTTCCCACAAGTTAGTCACTTCAAACCGTGTCTCGGGGTGCCTACAAATGGTAAAAAAAAAAAAAAAAAAAAAGAGTGTAAGCTTAGTAGAGGGAAAAAGCAGGACCACACGGGTAACTGCTCCACTGCCTAACTGCTAAACCACACGAGTGTCTATCTCTCCCTTACCGCTGCACATAGGCCTGGTCCAAATCGCGCAAGTCGGATGGGCTGTTCAGCACGGAGAAAAACTCCTTCGAGTCCATTTTGACGACTTCACTTTCTTCAAGGAAAATCTTAAAGTGATGCATAACTTGGTAAAAGTAGGCCTCAAATGGGAGGGAAATCTGTCCGAGGTTGCAAAAATGAAGAGACCGCCGTTGGTAAAGCACACCATCAAAGTACCTCATATGTTTGGCGAGAAAAGAGTTGACCTTCATTTTCACTCGATTTTGTTTCCCTTCAAAATGCTTCAAATAATTTTCATAATTTCTCACACAGGTGGTTAAGTTTAAATTTTCAGTTTCTTTTGTCTTTTCTTTAAAACACATAAAATATTGTTTAAACATGTCATCCATTTTTCTCTTGCCCAGGCAAATGTGTGGGAATTTCAGAATGCCTCGTTTGGCGCAGCGTGTGGTCACTGCGGCACGCTTCGTGTTGCCCGCCATAAACACCGCGTCGTTGTAGTAGAACGAGAGCAGGTGCTCTAAAACGGACAAACTGAAAACGGAGGCCATGTCATTGGACGTGTTGTAGCCACCCTCCAACACACTGATGATAGGAACGCGCAGTTTATTCTGAAGAGACAAAATTAAGTTTGTCATGTGAAAGTAGGTCGATGTATTTTTCTTCACAAAACCGTTATTAACAAAATCGAGTTTGTGTCCATCAAAACCAGCAGATAGGAAAAGAAGGTTTGGTCGGAAATGAAACAAATGAATTAATATATTATTGTGAAATAATTCCAGAAAATTCTGTTCATTCATATTTTTCTTCAAAGTTACATTAATGATATAGGGCTCTAACTCCACTGTGTCGTTTCCTGTTCCAGGGTAAAAGTACCCATCAAATGCGTGAATCGAACTGAAAAAAATATTCTTCTTATCATTTTTATCCTTCCACCCTTTCCAACTATATATATCAACGTACTCATTAATTTTAATTTTTTTTAATCCCAAATTTCGCACAATTTGTTCTGTTCCATTTCCATGGTGTATGTCAAAATCGATCACAGCGATGCGTTCAAATTTTTCATATTTATACCTTGCGTAAGACATCCCGATAGCTATATTATTCAACAAACAAAAACCTTGACTCCCTGCTGCCCTATCTTCATCGGTTAGGTTAAATTGCGCAGCACCGTAAGTTCCTAGGTGATGACCAGGGGGTCTAACAACACAAAAAATTTTTTTTTTTTTTTTTTTTTTTTTATATATATAATCTACTGCTTTTAAAACAACTCCACTGGCATTCAATGCGCAGTTAAAAGAGTGTTTATTGACAAAGGTGTCATTGTCCAACAAGATTAATTTGTCCACTTTTTCCTTTCCAGTATTTGTACTGTTCCACTTCTTACTTTGCATAACACCTCCTGAATTTCCCTTCATATCTGTGCTGAGACTTTGATTTGGCATTTCTACTCCCCCCTCGCCCCCTTTCATATTGTTCTCACACTGAGCACCCACATTAAAGCTCTCGCTGCCAACCTGGTTTGACCCTTCCACACATTCACTTGCCCCTTCTTCGCAAACGGCACTAATAATTTCGCTACTCTTTAACATTTCCAAATGGTCCGACACAGCAAAGGTTGCATTTCCACTCAAATCATCCAATGACAAGGCGAGGTAATTCTTCTTGTTCTTCTTCGTGTTGTTCAAAAAATTATCATCGTACGCACTCATATCCTCGTATTCATTTGAGTTGCACCTCTTTATCCTTCTTAGTAACATTTTCAGGTATGAAATATCATGAACCCTTAAAATGTCATTAGCCGTTGCTTTCCTTTCTACCCTTTTCAGCTTAAAATTAACAAAAGTATTCAGGCGCAAAATGCCATGCTTATTTGATATTAGAACATCTAACCTGCTGGAGTTTTCTGGAATGTTGGTCATAATTTTGTTTCTCACGTAGGGGTGGTCGGTTGGCTCTGGCACGAAGATGTGCTTGGAGCATTGATTGGAGTAAAATATTTCTATTCTGTTTTGTCGGTCAATTCTTTTCTTCACAGGACAACACCTGGCTCTTCTTTTTTCAGCGACAGCGGTCCGCGCACTGTCCACATGGCGCTCTCCTTCCACATTGTCCACATTTTCCACGCGCGCACCTTCCACCTGCGTAGCCCCCTCGCCAAGTCTATGTTTCCGCACCGTAAAGACATGCTCTCCCCCTAGCGCTGCCTCATTGTTCTTCCTCTTTCTACTCACGCCCACACGCGCCTCACACCGCACAATCTCATCACACTGCCTCACAAACACATTCATACAATTGTACATCGAAGCGAACGAGCACAGGAAGTAGCACATGTCCCTCCTATGCAGAATGTAACAAAAAATCTGCTTATTGTAATTGTATAAAATTTTTAAAAATTCAAAATTCCCCAATTCGATAATTTTGACCATTATGCTTAAGTACAGCTTCACAACGGAGGTGACAAAAATGCTGTTAATTTTTTTGTGGTAAAAAAAGCCATTCCTTATATATTTGGCGCGGCGTTTATTTGCCTTCCCCGTCGGGCATTCCTCTTGTGTCTCTTCACCGTACATCCCTTTCGTGTGCGCCTCATTCTCCTCCTCCAATTCTCGCTTCAACTTTGGATCCTCCACTTTGGCGTCCCTCGTGTTTGAGGGGCACTCCGTTGGAATTGTCTTTTTGGAAGTCGCCACTTTTGGTGACTTTCCCTCCCTTCGTCCTCCCCCACGGTATTCACTTAGATAAAAGAAAAAAAGATACTCGATCGTATTATGAAGCAAAAGGAGAAAAAGGTACTTGTCACAATTGTACACAGTACAATGCACGGGCAACTCAGACTTGTCATTGTAAATCATCAGATTCACGTTCAAACGTAAAAGTAAAAAAATTATTTTTGCATTAGAAACTAAGCAAGCTTTATGTATGAGGGTATTGTTATTATCATCTGTTTCGTCAAAGTCGATTATGTATTTCCACACTTCATGCAAATAATTTTTTCCCCTTTCCCTCTTTGGTCCTGTTTTCATTTCATGCCTTAAATATTTTTGTATGTCATTCAGTACGAAATTGCCATATGTATATTCCATCTCCTTTTGTGATTTATTTTTCCTCTGTTCTTGTTTCACAAATTGTAGGAAATTCTCTTTCATGCATGGTCCCTGGGGGGGATGACGCTTTCTCGGGGAAGAGGCCTGGATAGTGCTGTTCCTTTCTTCCATCGGTGCACCTGATGGGTGCTCATTTTGAGCAGATTCGACAACATGGTGGCTGTCCTGATTTGTACAGATCTTCTTGATGTGGCCCCCCTCCAACGCAGACGCATCAACGTTACTATGCGTTGCAGCTATCCCATCGCTCTCGTCATGAAGGGCATTCACTCCTTCTCTCAAGAAGGCGTTCACTTCTCTTTCCTCTTCCGAGTCGCTCAGACAACTTAAACTCTTTTCACTGCTTACACTTCCACTGTCATCTGACAGAATCGCATCTTCTACATTTGTTCCTCCTTTTTTTTTCTTCTTCCTGACTTTTACAAGTTTTTTTTTAACCAACACTTTCGTGCTGCTGTCGTAGTCGTCCAAGTAGATGGTGGGTACCTCCACATGTTTAAAAAGGGGCGTCTTAAAGTACCTCCTTCTGAGCGGCAGTCTGTTATGGAGGTCCTTCTTTCTCTCCTTCTCATACTGCTCCTTCTCAGTGGGGCAAAGCTTGCATGTATTTTTCATCCCCCTCACATTTCCCCCCTCATTGGTATCAACTTTCGTGCAGAACTCCGCCCCATCCTGCGCATTATTATCCTTGACCTGCTTCTTTCCCCCCTCTCCCTGTTTGGAGTTCCCCCTTCTCATTCTTCCTCTACTGCTGCCCCTATGATACGTTCGAAAAAACTTGGGCGAAACGGAAAAGACTGGCAAGGAGTGATAAAAAAGGACAATCTTTAGGATCTTAAAAATTCGCTTGTGATATTTCTTCACATAAATGCGAGAAAATAAATTCTTTATATAACTGTCCTTGGTGAATGCATCGAAGAAGTTTGCCCTGGTAAGCTGAAGCAGCTCAGAGGAGCCATGAGAAAATTCCATTGCAGGGGAAATAACCCCACCACTGTCGCAAGCATTTCCAACATTGTAATAATCATTGCTTGAGTTTAGAGCATCTCTTCTCTTCAGTTCTTCAACAATCTTCAATTTAAATATTAGAGAACAAAAATTATTAGGCAAATTTAAAATGTATTTATAAAAATTTTTGTATATTCTGAGGTTGTTACTTCTCAGGCATTTCAAATAATTGTGTAGGTAAGGATAATAAAGTAGTAGGAAGGTGATGTAGGCCTTGCAGTAGTAGAAGCAGGTTTCAAGTGAGCACTTATTTTCGTAGCTCACGTCATTAATCATATCCCTGTAATCACTTTTTAAAATGTAGCATACATAATTTATTTTGCTATTAATGATATTTAGTATTAATATATTATCTTTTTTTTTTTTTTTCATTTTGTCCAGTTCGTATTCGAACCTGATATTTCTTTTCTCCTTTGCAATCTTCATCTTCGTTACTCGGGGGTACAGAGACAGGGGCACATGTTACGTTATATGCGTGTTGGTGGGGGGGAAAGAAGCTATGGATCTTTATTCACACATTTGGATATTAGGTACTGTTCGCGCTAACGAAAAGGGAAGTGGACAGGGGGGGAGACGTTAAACTGTGGTGGCTAATCGGAGAAAGCTGCCCTGCGAAAAATAAATAATCGGATAATATAAACAACAAACCTTTGTGCCCCTATTTGTTGGGTGGTCAATGCAGGATCGCGCGAAGATCAAGCCGCATACAACGACGGGGGTTAGACGCACGAAACGACGTGAATATATTGACAGAGAGAAGTATTTTCGCGGCGATAAACAAAAAAAAAAAAAAAAAAAAAAGGGCTCCATATATATAAAACGTAAAGCCACAACAATAAATAACGAAAAGAAGGGCAATTTTTTTAAAAAACCTTTTAAGCAACAAATATAGGGAAATAAAAAAATAAAACAAAATTAATAAAAACAGTAAAAATAAGAATAAAAAACAAAGATTCTCCAAATATATGTATGCGCGGTAAATGGCAATGTTTTAATTTCTCGCGAGAGTGGCAAAAAAAAAAAAAAAAAAAAAAAAAAAAAAAAAAAAAAAAAAAAAAAAAGAAAAAA